TGTTATAATATGCACCTCTGCATACCCTACGCAGAGGTGCATTATTAATGCCACTGTACCATGCAACACCCACTTTTCACTATTTATGTTATAAGTCCCTCGTAATAGGGGGTGAGCCTATTGCCATATACCGGGCACAATTCCAGACTCCGTGCTACTACTGAGATTTTTTTAAAACCCGGTAATACTCGAACCCGGAACCCCTTGCTCGGCAGACGCACTTATGACCGATTGGCCAACGAGGCAGAGGCAGCAGAATTTTTGAAAGTAACCCCATAGAACTAGCGTTGAACTTAATCGAAATATTTTCGATCAAGTTTGTTAAATGTTCCGATCGGATAACATATCTGTGTTCCGAAATAATAGATTCAATTTTTGTTATAAGTCAAAGTCAAAATCATTTATTTCAATTAGATCAGAAAGATACTTTTGAACGTCAACAAAAATGTTAAAAGTGAGGCTATTTTCTTATTTCAATGTGTAGATTTCCTATGGAGAAGAACGAAAAAGGAACTCCATAACTTATTTTTTTTCAACCAGGTAAAGACCTATTGGGTAGTAATACAAATAGGTCACTTAAAAACAGGAGAAAATCCTAATTTTATTTTACACTAAAAATAAATTCACATGAACTAAAAACTAAACTTTCCTTATTTTTTTAAAACAAAATTTGAAATTCAATCTCAAACTATTAATGTGACTAGTAATCTTACTATATAGTCATTTATATAACCAGTTATCAAACTGACTGAATATTAATAAGCCTTTAAGTGTGGAAGAGCCATGCTTCGACACGAAAGGGCCGACTTGACAGGAGCGATACCACGGCCTCAGAGAAAATCGACGTGAAACTACGCTTGCATTGTACCTAGTCGTGTGAGTGAGGTTACTTGAGGTCCCCCCCCCCTCCAGTCTCCCCATTCCCCGAATCCTCCACAATGCTCAAATTCCCAATTCTCAAAAGGCCGGTAAGGCACTTGTAACGCCTCTGGTGTTTTAGGTGTCCATTGCTTACCATTAGGTGATTTGTCTGCTTGTTGACCAGCTTATCCAATAAATAAACCTACGTTTACTATATTTATATTATAGGGTTCACATCTACGTAAAAAAGAGTGATGCTATGTTAAAAACAGCATGTTGAGGTAACCCATCCATCTGAAGTTTGATTTATTACAATTTAAAATCCCCTATTAAGTTGCAAAAGACGTAAGCAATTTATTTTTATATCATAATAATAACTAATTATTCGACTAGATGCATATCTATAAAAATATAAACATTTATATCGCATGTTCTATAGTTTATAGACATAAATGAACAATTAAATAACACAGTCTAAAGTCAAATAAAAATAGTTTTAAGGTTAAAATTAATAATGCTTTAGTTTAAAAAAAGAACTAAATTTTCTCAGCAATTTGCTAAGGTAAACAATAAATTGCATATTGTATGTTAATACTGTAAAGCTTTTTCATACGTACATTAGATACGATTTATATTTAAAAATATTTAATTATGAATCTTGTTTGTTCTTTATTTAGAACAAGTTTTGAATATGTACCAACACATTATTTAAAAATATGTCCAAATAAGATTTCATTCTGTTAAAGTAACGTATATTAATAAGCTTTACTTTATACGTCTATGGTTTGAAATCTATGTAAACATATTACATAGAGTAGTTATAAGTTAATATTTTTAGTAATACCCACATTCTTAATTAATTATATATTTTAGTAGAAAAATTTTCAATGTACCGCCCGCTCATACTCTGTATTTTAATTTTAAATTATCATGTTTACTCATGTAGTAGTAAACATGATCATATCATATCTTAAGTGAATTGTATTCTTTTTATGAAAAATAATTCTTAAATCAGAAATCAGTAATAGATTTTCAGAGACATAAATGTCAAAACGTAGACATATAAAAGTTCAATTTTCTATATCTCGTTTTAATTTATTTTATACTAGCTTCTGCCCGCGACTTCGTACGCGCAATCCTGTTTTTCCCGGAAACTAAAACTAACTAAACTTTTTTTTTTCGAACGGGATAAAAAGTATCTTATGTCCGTCTCCTGGCTCTAAGCTACCTCCATACCAATTTTAGCTAAATCTGTTCTGTCGTTCTTGAGTTATAAGTGGTGTAACTAACACGACTTTCTTTTATATATATATAGATTAAGGTATTGTTTCTTATGAGGTATGGTATCTTCGTATACAGTTTGGCAAAAAAGAGTTTGGAATAATTGAGGTCGCTAGTATCGTACCTGTGGCAACCTGGTACACTACAACTCAAACGGTTTTGATATTCGTTATGCTATGATTTATGGTCCTCAAGGTTATTTTCTTTTTCAATCTCTTTGACTTCATTTAGGTGTTGCATTGTTCTCACACAATCGAACCAACAAAACTATGTAACTAGAGAATTGTATTGTAAACCCGATTGAAAAAGAGTAACCTATGGAGTTCCTTGCTCGTTCTTCTCCATAGGAATCAACACCTTGGAATGAGCAACTAGCTTCACTTCTAAATTTTTTTTGTTGTTGTCGTTGAAAAGTGCCTTCCTGGTGTAATTGAAATAAATGATTTTGACTTTGACTTTGTTATTTTAATCAAGTTCAAATACAGAAGGGACTATTGTTCGTATGATTGTTTATTCACGGGATGTGATCTGTAGTGGGTGGTTCAGTCCAAGTTAAAGTTAGTTCCAGCTGTCGCCGCGTCAAACTCTTTTTTGGCCAATCTGTACGTCTATCTAAAATCTTAATTCTTTGCTCTCCTAGTACCATGTGCCTCACTCTCGTCCCCTGAACGAGTTAACATGGGGTGCCTGTGTCCCTTCTTCATGCCAACCAAGAACTGTGGAACGGCTGCTTGGCATTATGTTAGCACGCAGCCATCTTGGAGCTGCTGGAATCAAAGCAGACATCAGCGTCGATGAACCATGTCAAAGTGCTGAAGATGAACTGGAATATGATGCATTGTTCTATGCGTTTTTGTAAGTAAAGGTTTATTATACACATATATTATTATTTCTTTATACATATAATTCTGCTGTACGTGTGTCTGTCATTGAACTCCTCCTAAACGGCTTGACCGATTTAAACTGTCAAACACCAAGCGGTCACCGGTGACCGCAACCTATTGTTCTATAATTGTGTCTGTATTGACGGTACTCGACGAGTTAAATGAGTTTTTCTGTACGTATTTGAGTGGCGCCCTGAATGGTTTAGATTCACAAATCAGTCCGGCAGATGGCGCATCAGTCGGTATCTAGATTATTTATCCTAAACGGCTGAACTAATTTGATTGAATTTTTGTTTATACATTCAAGTGGATATGCAGGACAACGTCTGTCGGGTCGACGGGTCCGCTAGTATATTATATTATTTGGTGTATGTTCATAAGCTTTTCAACAGACTATCTCTGTTCTTGTGTTGATTTTATCATTATCTGTACTGTAGACTTCATCTACCTAGAAGGGTATCCACCCTCAGAAAAAGAGTTGGGTGACGGCAGCTTTAAAGGTTTAGGCTGATCACAGAGAACTGCTGCATAATTTGTTTGGACATTTTGTACATAATCTGCTTTCGATCCAGATTTTTCATTACGATCGGTTACACGCGCGGTGTGTAGGAAGTGATGACGCATATATTTTACTCTATCGTCGCAAGGAATGTTAGTGTTTAATTTAAGTATATTTGTTTTGTAAATACCAACTTTTCAATTAAAGTTGTTCTATTTTAGCATCGTAATGGGCTCAGTGACGGCTATCGCTCTGGTTTGCACGTACTTGAACTACCAGAGGGCACAATTAGACTCATCCCTAGACTCAGATTCTAGAGGTAAGGTATAATTTTATTTTTAAATTTTATTTCTTTATGCAGGTACGAGTGAGGTAATCAGCTTCAATAAACCCAACTTCTGATTTCTGACTTTCGGTTTCATCAAAAATTCTTTTTTTTTTTTTTATTTCAAACATACATAGATAGAAAAAAAATTATTCTGTCCTTAATTTAATAAATTTAGAAAATAAAATAATACAAAAATCATCCACCAAAAAGCTAACGTCACGCGGTATTCCCAGGCGGTCACCCATCCAAGTACTAACCGCGCCCGATGTTGCTTAACTTCGGTGATCGGACGAGAACCGGTGCTTTCAACATGGTATGGACGTTGGCGATAGCTGTGTTGAATTTAGATACTTCATTAAAAATATGACTCACTATTTTTTTGCGCTTAGGAGCAACTACGAGACGGTTTTTTTATTATTATGCTTGAGTTCATGGATTAGTTAAATGTCGGTACTGTAGTGTACACCACTGTTATGAATATTTTATTCACATTTTTATTTTCAGAACCAGACTTCATAAACGCATTCTGTTTGAGAGAGAACGCTTCAGATCTTCTTCGGATGAGGAAGGAAGGTGTAGAAGTGTTTTACGGGATTCGATTTCTCACTATATGTCTGATTGTGATGGATCATCAGATAGGAATCTCCAATGCTGGGCCCATCAGTGATGGGTTAACTTCTGATGAGGTATAATAAACCGGTACTTTAAAAAAAAGTATTATGTCTTATACAATTGTGTTACGGGGACATACGACTGTTTTTGAGCTCAAGCGGAGCCTATAACAACTGTGTCGATAGTTATTTTACAGTCTTCTAATCTTTTATTTAATAAGACAAAGGAAAATCGCTGTCTAGGGTGACTTCAAATGAACATTATAATAATGATGTCACTTTTTGAGTAACAATACAAAATAACGAAAGCACCTAAATAATTATGTACTTGGTCTAATGTACTAACGATCTTCCTTCATTAAACAGAGTTGCCTTGAAACTGCTTAGCCCTGACCTATCTACTATAATTCTAATCTATGCCTGAAGACTGAACACTTGAACAGTCAACTTACTATGCCCGAACTCTGAACTACCTATCACTATAAACTGATAACATTTTCTAATCAATTTCAACATAATCTTTGCTTAAGTTTGCTTTATGAATTCAAATAATTAATAGGTCTAGATTTAGTTATTTCAACAGGAGGTGAATAAAACTACGTTGGGTATGCTAATTCTACACGACGATTTATTTGTGGATACCTTCTTCTTACTATCTGGATTCCTTACATTCACGAATTTGGTGAAGTTAAACAGACTACCAAACCCGCTGCTTATTATTCTGAAGAGATATGTTAGGTAAGCAAATTAATCATCATCACAACATCGAGACTTTTATCCCCGAAGGGGTAGGTAGAGGTGCACATTATGCCACTGCACAATGTAATACCCACTTTTCACTATTTATGTCATGAGTTCCATGTAATGGGGATGAGCATATTGCCATATACCGGGCATAATGCTAAACTCCGTGCTGAGAATATTTAAATCGTCGAATACCGTCATTATAGACACAATTATAGAACAATAGGTTGCGGTCACCGGTGACCGCTTGGTGTTTGACAGTTTAAAAAACTCAGTAATACTTTACCCGACCCAGGAATCGAACCCGAGACCCCTTACTCGGCAATCGCACTTGCGACCACTCGGCCAACAAGGCAGGCAAAGCAAAGTGAATATTAACGAATAGTTTATTTCATCATCATCATCAGATGTAAGACGCGGAGCGGAGGACCCATATCGAACGACAACTCGCCACTTGCGTTCATTGGTTCTCCGAGACTTTGACGATGTCGTCGAACGGCTTTTACATTGATCAATCTTCATGATTACGTTGTTACGACAAAAAGATATTACATACAGTTAGCATAGCTACTTACTATACAGGTAAGAAAATAAAGATTGACTTAGTACAGAAACAGTAGCTGTTATTATACTAATTTTTATAAGTAGTTTTAACTAAGCCAGGATCTTCTTTAACCATTTGTCGGTTCAGTAGTCAACCAATGGTTATTGTCTCTGTACTGAATCCATCTCTATTTTCTTGCATATAAGGTCACGTCTTTTATCACCGAAGGGGTAGGCAGAGGTGCACATTATGGCACCTAATGCTACTATATAATGTAACACTCACTTTTCACTATAAATAGTGAAGTGTTACATAAATATTAAGAGTCACATTCCAATGTAATAGGGGGTGAGCCTATTGCTATATACTGGTCACAATTCCAGACCCAGTATTACTTTTCCCGACCCGGGAATCGAACCCGAGACCCCTTGGCCGCCAGTCACACTTGCGACCACTTGGCCAATGAAGTCTGTATTGTCTTATCTGCATAGTAAATATCTGTGCAGTGTGTACTAAACTAAATCCTATATATATAAATAATTATCCAAAACACAAACAGGTTGGTGGTCGCTCTGGCAGTGGTTATCTTCTACATCTGTGCTGTGCACCCTTACACCGGCACCGGACCACTATGGAACAGGGCCATAGCATACGATACGACGCACTGCCGCAAAAACTGGTGGCTCAACCTTCTCATGGTCAACAATTACATTGACCCGGAGAATCTTGTAAGTATCTAAATTAATGTATTATGAGTTCTCCTTTAGTCGAAACAAGGAGAGTATGTGTCTTTTTTTATGGCATAAACCGTTAAACGAGCAGACGGATCACCTGATGGTAAGCAATCGGCGTCGCCCATGGACACCTGGAACACCAGAGGCGTTACAAGTGCGTTACCGGCATTTTCGGGATTAGGAGTTTGAGGATCGTTGGGGATTCAGGGATTGGGGAGATTGTGGAGAGCGAGGTTAATTGGGCCTCCGGTAACCTCACTCACACGACAAAACACAACGCAAGCGTTGCTTCACGTCGGTTTTCTGTGAGGCCGTGGTATCAGTCCGGTCGAACCGGCCCATTCGTGCCGAAGCATGGCTCTCCCACACTTAAAACTTTTTACTTTTTATTTTCAAATTAAATACCAGTTTATCAAATAATATATTTTTTTTTTCAAATCCTTTATATTATTGTAAGTAATCTGGAATCAGTTAATGTGCCTGAAACAAGAGATTAAAATAGCTGACACTAAAATTACGACGACGCTTTAAAATCTTTTGTATGTAACAAGAAAATCGCTTTCCGTTTACTTACTTAAATTGCTTAAATACTTAAGTGCATAAAAATAGTATTATTCAGAAAGAAAGAAAGAAAACCATTTATTACGCCACGACACACAACAAGAATGCAAAAGGCTAGAGCTCAGCTTATTACTATAGCACGGGCACGAAGGGTCGAGTCCACGGCGGTGATTTATGTCTACCTCATTGAATATATTTTGTTTCAGTGCATAATACCTTCGTGGTACATTCCATGTGACTTCCACTTCTTCGTGGTGTCCATCTTGGTGTACTGCATCTATAGAACGTGGCCGAAATTAGGGATCACCATCGCAGGCCTATTCACGGTCGCGTCTATTATTGTACCTGGTGCCGTCAACTATATTAATGAACTGTCTGCTGTTCAACTCTTCACATTTGAGTAAGTATAAATTTTATGATTTTACAAGTAGGTTGGCAATTTTAAACTTATAATTAGAATTTGATTGAAACTAGTCGAGTTCCTCGTCAAATTACTACTTACGTGGGTAAGCCGAAAACATAATAATTTATAATTAGAAATAATAAGTCCAGGTTTCCTCACGATGTTTTCCTTCACCGTTTGTCAGTGGTGTCTAAATAAACTTAGAAAGTATATACATATAACTCGGAAAAATTCCCATTGGCTTACTGTAAGTAGGTATCGAATTCTTACTCTTCAATGTTTATTATGAATGAATAAAAAATCTAATGTCGTATAAATAAAAACCTCCAGATAGGTATTTTCCTATATCTCGCGTGTCTTCATTATGCACTTTGCTTAGTGTTTAATTAATAGTAACTGTTAATGTCTATTGCGCTTCATTACTGTATTTCATTAATATACTGTTATTAAAATTAAAACGTAATCTGTATGTAATTAAAGTTGTTTATCCTCTGCCGAGTTACGTTGTGTTGACCCGTAACCTTCATAACCTGAACTGGAACGAACCGTGTAATCTGAAAGACTGTAAGAGAAGAGAGATAAACTGATTTCTACAATCCAACTGTTTCTTGCCCTTCTTCATCACCTATCAACGTCCTAAATGGAACCTCGGCTGACTGGTTGGGTGACTGGCTGCTACATAACATGGCGTTTATTCGAACAAACAACAATTAAATAGTATTTTGAGATTTGATTTTCGCTTCCATCATAATACAAACAGAGAGAAAATTCTGAGACGCACTCAAAAAATGTTAACACTACAATTGCATTGTAATATCACAGATATATAAGTACTATTTAAAAATTTAGTAACATTAGTATTTGGTCGTTTAGTACATTTTAATAAAAAGTCATATTAAAAATTGAAATGCAACATGATTTATTTAACAAACCAACATTTTAAAGAAAGAATACCCGAGGGAATTTATTTATTTATTTATTTATTTATTTATTTATAAGCACATGTATAATTTTACAGCACAAGCCAAAACATTATACAGTTAAACAATAAAAAAAAATGTTACTTATTTACTATTTTACACTTACGTAACAGGTATCTTATAAAAATGGAACGATAATTATAATTACTTAAAACTAATTCATCAGTCGTTCATCTTCTCGCAAAATCTTACACATTCACGACATACATCCTTCCATCTCGCTGCAAACAAATCACACTCTGGTGCGGAAGCCAGGAAAGCATTGATCATTGTTAATGCTCGAACAAGCGGAGAATTTGCATGCGCGACTGTTCGCGTTACTGGGACAGCCAGTAAGGGGTGCCTACGTGGCCTAAGCTGATGCTTCAGAACTGGGGGCACAAACAACCGTACAACCTGTGCCACCAGCTCCGGACAGTCAGATTGTCCTCGCAGAGTACTACAGGTAGAAATAATTAGAGAGTAATTTCGCCTCACTACCAAAGAATTAAAATTTAACATGCCTAGTAAAAACTTGGTGGGATATAAGAATGGATAGTACCCAAATAGCTTTTTGTACAGAAATCTAAGAAATGCTTTTTGCACTTTCTCCAGCAATAAAGCATAAGTACTCTCGTGAGGATTCCATACAATAGATGCTGTCTCTAGTTTGGTACGAACTAGAGCCATGTACACAAGTTTGATAGCTTTAGGATTATCAAATTATAGGAATAGGTTGGTTATGGGATGACGTGCTCCATCATAGACCGCATCATCGCTTACCACTAGACGAGATAGAGGTCAAACGTCGGGCCATCAAATATAAAAAAAACCAAGAAAACTTATACCTTTTAATAATTTTCCGACATTTATATTAGTACCTACATACTAAAGCCAATTAAATGTTTCATCACGGAGGATTTCCTCAAGCATTGTTCTTATGAATAGGGTCGTAATCTGTTAATCAATTTACTGTATTACCATCAAGTAGTAGTGACAAGCAGCCTTCCTGTCAACAAATAAAACAGTCTCATTGTATTTTACTATTTAACGTTGTTAAATAAGTTTTTTATTCCTTCGTAAACCACTTTAACGAGTAGACCATCTCAAATAGAGGTGGACGGGTCATATGCTGAGGTGTAGGCAAGGTAAATGGAACAAACCAGTCACTGTGTGGTATCCAAGGGATGGTAAAAGGAGGCAGGGACGTGACCCGATGAAAAAGTTGATATCTCAACTAAAATCCCGGGTTACTCACGTGAATATACAGCTCACCAGTGAACTGCGCGACGTCGCCGCCACCGCGTAGCACGCTCCTCATAAGGAAGAACCCCTCTGTGGGTCGAAACTAGTAGAGCTTTTCTCAGTATATTCACGTGAGTAACCCGCGATTTTAGTTAATTTAGTATGTCTCACGATAGTTATTATACAAGTTGACATATGTCTGACATTGGCATACTTATAACTCTTTGCTTTGGGACCATACTAGAGTAGAGTTCGAGAGGAAGGAGTTGGAGGTACCCTATGCCAAGAGGCACACCGAGCTTAGGGATATCATTTAAATATGTAAAACTATGCAATTTTACATATTTGTAACTGTAATAACTATAATATAAATTCGGAAAGAAAGGCTATTTAACTACGTTAAGGTTCAGGGCCTAGTATGAGTTTATTTCACGTTTAGCGAGATCGAAATATTACCATGTTCCGCGCTCTAATTGTTTTGTTCAAGGAACAGACCAGAGACGCTGCCAGTTTTCTTTATATTATCTACGTATTCTTTCTTTAATATGCTAATAAATCATGTTGCATTGGGATTTTTAAACTGGCTTTTTATTTAACTCATCGAGTACCGTCATTATAGACACAATTATAGAACAATAGGTTGCGGTCAGCGGTGACCGCTTGGTGTTTGACAGTTTAAATAAGAATTACTTAAACGTTAGAATTAATTAAACGACCGAATACTGAATGTTACTCAATTTTTAAGTTGTACCTATCATCATCATTATATTAGTCGTAGGAGGTCCACTGCTGAACATAGGCCTCCCCCAATAACCAGTTGTACCTACATATACCTTTATCAGTTTTTTTGCAGTATGGCAACCTATTCGATAACAATAAGCCACTTGTTTGGTTGAAGCAGGACATGTATGTTCTGGTTGTTTTAATCGCCGGTAACATTTCGATCTCAGTCGCAATACAGTATTACTTACACCACACACACAAGCCCATAAGGATGTTTCTAACTAGAATGTGTCTACCGATCTAATGACAAAACATTTACTATTCAAGTATAAAAAGTTTAGTATTCAAATTTTCAACCAAAATGGGTGCTTAACCCTTCTTCAGTCTTTAATTTTAATACTTATGAATTGTAACTAAAATATTAACAATTTACTTCACTTATTTAGGTACTTATTTTACTTCAACAACTGGATGTATTCTACATATTTTTTTCGTAACTAAACTAATATAAAATAAAGCATTAATATGCTTAGCCTACAAATTGAGGGATTTCCTATGTAGACCTTATTAAGCCATAGTTAATTTAACATTATATTTTCTTTAGTTTCATACTAAACCCTCGCGGCAGCAAAGACTTCAAGTTGACTTACATCCCGAGTCACACACGCTTCGCCTCATACCTGGTCGGTTTCTACACTGGCTACGTGTTCGTCAAGTACAGCAGTAAAGGCAACCTGGATAAGATGAGACAGGTGAGCCAAGGACTTGCTTTGCTACTTACTAAATGCTTTTATTAAATTGTTTATCGTATTATCATCATTATCATTATCAGTTCTCGCCCGTCATTGGTCGAGAATATTCTCACAACCTATGGCATGGCGGACCACGATCGAGTTCACTTCAATCTTTCAAATTGAAAGTTTCAGAACAGCCTATATTCCCCTTCGTCCGCCACGCTGAGTGAATCATTTTGTATCCAACAGTTGTGGATCAGTGCTGGTAGCCGAATGACGTTAATGGTAGTCGAATAGACAAGACAATGTATAGACATGGAGACTACCGTGTCTCATGATTGACATAACTTGTTCAATGTCCTAAAGTTTATAAATATCATACATTGCTATCGGGAAGTTGTTGAAGTCTATAGTTATTATGAGTCGAAGTGTATCGAAATGTGTGTCAACCGCGAAAGCCGAAGAAAGTCCGCGACTTTTTAAAAATTGTAATGGAATTTCGTTTATTTATTTCAACTTACATTCATCCTTACAGGTCACCCAACACCCAATGCGACAAATGTATGAGTTACGCTGTGGAGTTAGAATTAAATTCATTATGTTTAGTTAAGACGCTTCGATGCGTTTCGACTCTGTGCTAGTATAAATTGACCCTAAAAAGCTATAAAATTTCGTAGTAATTTGCCATCCCTTTCATCGAAAAATCTAAAACCCACCCGCATTTTACGTTATAAAACTATTAAAATTAACCACTTTTTGAATTACGTTTTTCAGAAATGGTCGGTTCTTGGTGCACTCGCTGCCTTGACACTGATGTTACTGGTGATGTTGTTGGGTAGTTCCTACCTGTGGCGCAGTTACCACCCGTTAGAGGGCGCCGTGTACGCTGCACTAAATAGACCTGCCTGGGCTCTCGGTGTAGGGTTGTTAGTACTGTGCTGCTCGCTTGGACATGTCCGTAAGTACTGTTAGATGTCGCTAGTTGTATGCAAATAGTTCATAGTGTATAATAGCGGATTGCTGTTTATCAGGCCGCTTACCCTTGAAATACAATCCCAATGTCATTTAAAGAATACAGAAAATAAATTTACGATACAGAAAAAGCATCTCAGTCTTTACTCATTGTTAACATTTATACTACCCCAATCGTGACTGTTAAAACAGCATTCATAGTACGAAATATAAAGCCAAATCCGATACCACTTTCCTTTAATATCCACGCAATACGGATGCAAAGAGCGCTAGTGTTCAATTCATGAGTACGAAATTATGCAATGTCAATATCGATCGATCGGATTTCGATTCAAAAGTAAGCCCCCTAGTCTCCCACAGTCCCATATAGAGGTAGTAAAGGACAAGCCTGCACACCAGGCACATAAACTTGAGAAATTTTTACACAATTTCGAGATTTAAATTAAGACTTGATCTGCACACGCCAGCACGTAAGCCACCTTTTTAACTGTCATTTGCCACATATTTTCGACTTTATTCTAAGGTCATAAAGTTCAAAACGTATTTATTATGAATAGTAAGACTTGCGTCCATGTTATTAAACACCCATTTTTACCATTTCAGCGTTTATAAAGGCATTCCTGAGCTGGTACCCCTGGGTGCCTCTGAGCAGACTCTCCTATGGCCTGTTCCTGACACACGCAATACTGATTGCAAGGAATGTCTTCATTACTAGAAATCCTCAGCATAATGATTACTTTGAAATTGTAAGTGTCCTATGATCCAGGCAGAAATCTATACTTATAATAACTCTGTAGAGATGTCAATTCTGTACATGAAATATATTTCCAAAATAACTATCAGGGGGTGATTAGTGATCAATTCTAATGCAAAAAATGCAGCCAGTAAAATTTTTTGTTTGTCTGTCTGTCTGTCTGTATGTTCCTTATAGAAACAAAAACTACTCGACGGATTTTAACGAAACTTGGTACAATTATTCTTCATGTTCCTGGGGAGGTTATAGTATACTTCCCATTGGAGAAGGAGAGGAGAAGTTATTCCATTTTTTAAGCTTCCGTCGCGTGTGCAGCCTTAATGGTTAAAGCTACATAGAAATCATGTACGACGGAAATGCTCTATAAAAAATTATCTAAAAAACATCGCACAACAGCATATGTCTCTTTTATGGTTTGTCGAATGTTAAGTTGCCCGCAATGGACTTTACGCAGTATCGGGATGGTTGAAATTAGCTTGAACCGATATTATAAATGTAAAAATATGTGTTTGTGTGTGTGTTTGTTACTCAATCATATTAAAACGACTGAAGAAGCCGGAATGAAATTCGGAACAGAGGTAGATTATGGTCTGAAGTATTACATATATAGACATTTTACCCCTAGGAACGCGGGCGAAGCCGCTGGCAGAAGTGAATTCTTCAAATATAATATCTTTTAGCCCCATTAGTAAAGTTTTAAAATAATTTTATATATTAAATTCTACCCAACTTATCAATTAATTGTATGGTTTATTGGACTTGAAGTAAGAAAAGCTTGCTAACAGTTATTATGTTAGTCCTTAAGACTGTCTTTTACTGCCGACTGAAAACCATTAAAATAAAATAACAGATAAATTAAAGATAAAATAAAATATTGTTTCGGTCACCAATGACCGCCGCGGCTTTTGACATATTATTTGACCCCCTCCTAGTGTTTTCTACATACAATAATTAAAATTTTACATACATCAGAGGCAAGGTGGAATCCAGAACAATAATTTGTCGTTCATAGAAAGAATTAAGTCGTGCTCAAGAGCTTAGGAACTGGCGACGCATTTTAGGCTAAGGTAACCTGCTAAAAATTTTAGCGAATAAAAATTATAACGTTCTTGTTTTCAGCTGAATGAAACAATAGGAGTTATATTCTTCGGATGTCTTGCAGCGCTTGTTCTCTTTTTACTAGCAGAAGCTCCTGCCAACAAATTAATGGCTTTGTGCTTGAAATCTAAGTAAGTCTCTTGATGATTATCCTCATCATCGTCATATCATCACGCCTTTTATCCCCAAAGGGGTAGGCAGAGGTGCACATTATGCCACTGTACAATGTAACACCCACTTTTCACTATTTATGATATGATTCCCATGTAACAGGGGGTGAGCCTATTGCCATATACCGGGCAGAATTCCAGACTCCGTGTTACTACTGAGATTTTTTTAACCACCCAGTAATACTTTGATTGATTGATTGATTGTTTGATAATACTTTGCCCGACCCGGGAATCGAATCCGAGACCCCTTGCCCGGCAGTCGCACTTGCAACTACTAGGCCAACGAGGCAGTCTCTTGATGATTAATTTATGAGATTTATTGTTGCAATCTATAGCTAACCCAGAAGAAATGCATAATTGTAATTAATAAACGTACTTCTACTTTAAACCAGTTACATTATGAGTTCCACAAAAAATATCTATAGTAATGAACGAGGCTCTTGTCTATTCTAGATTAAATAACAATTTTGGAAACAAAATAATGCAAGTGAAACAATCACTCGTATTGTATGATATATATTATAAAAATCCAATTCTAATAACCTCTCTCTTTTTACAGAGTCAAAAAGATGTCAGATCTCGAATCGAACCCTGATCCAATGAGTACTACCACCAGTATGAGCACTGTGCCGACAGGCAGCGGGTATTTAAGCGAGAACTTACCAGGCACAATACAATACTCTTCTAAGATATAAAATAACTTAAACACTTAAACTTATGTACTTCCATTATTTGTATAAAAGTCATGGAACTGATTGGAATTACCATCTTATGCAAAAACCAGCACTTTAAGCATCCATCAAATTACTTTAACATATTTTCATTTTTAATATTATTGCAATATGATTTTTATGGAATAGAAGGCAAACGAGTTGACGGATAACCTGGTGGTAAGCGATCTGTACTGCCTATGGATACCCGCAATAGCAGAGGAGTCACAGGCGCATTGCCAGCCTTTGAAAAAGGAATACGGTGTTTTCTTGAATCGGTTCGAAAATACCGCCGACGACAGATCAGTCTACTTGCTGCTTTTTTTGCTGTGCAAGGTAGAAAGCTTTTTGAAAAGCGCACAGTTGTGGCCTGCAAACCATCGAAAACTACCGAGCGAAGCCACATTTTTTCAGAATTAACTTAATCATTATCATTATACACATAAAAATAAAATTATGACAAAAAACCATTTATAAGATTTTGAAATAATCGGTGGAACTATGTCAAACTCAAATACAAAACAAAAACAAAGCCTTTATTTCAATGAATGATTAATTAATCACTTTTGATACTTCAAAAATTGCATTGTTCAACCGTCTGTATAGTATAAGTTTAAAGAAGTATTAATTTTGCATAATTATTTTATGATACACATTTAATTTCTTTACCTTAATTAAACGAGTTAAAGTAATATTATTCTAAAAAAAAACGAATTCAGTTTAAGGAAAACAATTAAACATTTTACTTGTTTGTTTCTGAACACGACACTTTTTATTTAAACTCAAGAATATTCAAAAATATACTAAGTATTACGTAAATGTTAAAAAATATAACCATTAAGAGACGGTAAGTAAATAAGTCGCTTCGTATTGGACGAAAAGATTCTAAGGCCAACAAATGTTCAACGATATGTATCGGCGACTTGTCAAGCGAAGCCTGCCGATTTCGCCTGACATATTAGAAAGGGACAACGCGCTTATGTCCACAGCGACGTTGGTGTTGCCAAACATGAACAAAGTCATATACACACACACATACACACACGCACTCACACATAGCTTATAGTATTTTTATATATTATTTATGTATTTCTTTTTTTAATTGCTAGTTTATTATATCTGTCGCGGAGAACCTAAAGGGTAACCGGGGCTCCGGCTCGACGTGCAGGAGAAGGAACGGGGTGGTTTTTAGTCAGTAAGAGTCTGACACTCCCTCCCGCCTCACCCAGACGGGAGCAGTCATTCAATGATTTTCCCCCCTTAAAAAAAAGTATATTATATTTATTGTAGGTTGTATTGTAGGTATTTTTATTTTGCCTTTTTTTATTATACACTTAACTACCCTATATCTTTCTTCTATAGGTTTCTTATAAATATTTCCATCCAAAGGTTGTCTGGAAGAAATCATCATTGTGTAATAAGACCGCCATTGTACGCATATTTATTTGAATTGTTTGTTTTTAAGCTACTGAAATGTGTACAATAAAGCATATATAAATAAATAAATAAATAAAGTCCGGCAACGTCGCGCTACTCCACCCAACGCCGCTGGCGACACACGCAGGATATTTTTCCCTAGTGTATCCTTGGCTATTACAGGTTTTACTGATACAAATTAAGTGATATTATTGTAATGTAGAGTATAGTAAATGTTTATATTGCCAATTTTATTTTGTAAATAAATAAATAATCTACGAAATATTTTTTTTTATTTTACTATGGACTATTAGTCTATTTTAATTAATGAAAACTCAGATTAACTAAAACAAAAGCGACCAAAAAAATATTTAGCAGATCTACGCTGTATGACTACGCCACAGTGCTACGCTGTAGAACTACGCTACAACGCTACGCCGTAGTCAGCCGCGTAGTCCTGCTGCTGCGACTTTAACCGATTAATGTTGTAGTATTATATTGCTGAAGACAATTAGTACAAAATAGTGTACCTTATGAAGTGTCAATAATAAGCTTATAAAACACTGCTTAAGTGAAGTATATTAATTACCAAATACATAATTTAATAATATTTTGTGCTTCCAATATTTATGTAGGTATCGCCTAAAAATCTTCAAAACTACGACCCATAATATTAATTTATGTGTTTACTGCCATCTATTGACAAACACACATACTACTACGTAACCCAGTCTCCCATAGCCATATACATTAACATTCATGACACAACATTGTAAAGTTACATAAACTTAACAATAGATGGCGCTCGCAGCTCAATAGGATATTGGATTCCAGATTATTTTTGTGTATTACTGAGTACCATCAATTTTGATGCATATTTTTATAAATTTATTTAAGAATGAACTGGTATTAATATTATATGCAAATATGATAAAAAATTTAGGACTTAAATTGATGCCGTATTATCTACAAGGTCTAAAAATACCAACTTAGCTAAGTGGGTTCAGGCTGTATTTTCTCAGAAATTATTTTCTTTGTTCTGCTCCTCGTGGGTGTAGCTTAGACCTATTTACGTCAAGGGAATGAATAGTATTGTTCGTAATAATAAACTCGAATTCCATTTACTCAGCCGATCGCTTTTGTTCCTTGGCGGCTTTGTTATGCCTAAATATTTATTTGAAAAATAATATGGGTAAACTATCATTCTTATAATTCTTTTATTTATTTTTACTACAATTCGCAATCTCCAACCCAATCGTATAAATATCTTTTATCCTTTAAAGAATCCTGTTCTATTAATATGTTATTGCACTGTGTTGTATAACACTATGTTGCTTCTACCCACTTTTTAGCATATAACTAGTAATGAAAAAACTTCAAATTATTTATCTGGCAGTAACCATCGTATTCAGAGTAAATGACTCTGAATATGACTACCTTTTTTTTTAACCCCAAGGTGGGAAATCCTCATGGAGCCCCTCGCCTGGGGAGGACGAAAGGGACTGTCAGACTCTTACTGACTAAAACCCACCCCGGTGTCCCCTCTTACACGTGGGTACGAGGGTGCGGGAGTCACATTCATCCGCAGCCCCCGAACTCGTGGCGGCCTGCCTTGCCAGGCCCCACTTCAAGATGCACAGAATCCAAATCTGTTTTCGGAATAATATCATTCCTAAGCAATAGTTTAAGTAATCATAAAATTTTTCTGAGTATCGCAGTTAGCCTAACAGAAACTAAATCAGACATTTTTATATGTGCAATATTTTAAATTATCACATAGATACATCACATTTTATTCTACATACAGATTTGAATCATACCATATAACTAAAGGCTTATCAATGCGGTTCTTTATAATTCAATTATTCTAATTTAATTTGCATACTCTTGTGTGCTAGTATTCATTACAGACGCTGCACCGTCCATGTATAGGTTGGTTCAAACAAAACTGCAGGTAGATCAACAATGGGAGATTACATCACTCTGATGTTTGCATTATTTATAGATTTCATTACCTTCCGACGTTTGATTTTACTCGGACCATTTATTGTATAGTGTTTCTTGTTGCTATACAGGATTATGGTCAACTAGTTTCTGCCAACAGCGTGGTCCGAAGGTATAAAGGTAATTAATAAGAAAGCAGATGTCACTTCCACTCTCCAGTCTTCTAACTGTGTCCAGCTATGGAGGGCCAGGAGACTCATAATACAAAGCTCTGATCTAGTTTGGGGCGCCTGTCTCCCTCTTATCTATACAAATTTCACAAAAATATATTGAATAATTGTGTCTCAGTTGGGAGTAAATAAAATAAATTTCATTTTTTTCAATTCAATTTCATTTCATTTTTCATTTCAACTACCTCCAGATATAAAAATCATATGATAAAAACGTTCCTACGTTTTTATACAAAAAGCTCTTCCTTTATTATTTTCTTAAATCAAAGGCTCATTTGCAAACTCAGATTATCAATGTTCACAAATAGATCACACCTAAGCCCAGTATGATCTGATGGTCATGACGATTCACGATCAATTTTAACTGTCTAGCTAGAACTATGAACCTGCTGCTAGATTGATAGAAGGACAGAGGAGTTTTAGCAGCAAAAGCGTCCCATTCTTACACATAAACATAACATAACATCACGCCTTTTATCCCCGAAGGCAGAGGTGCACATTACGGCACCTTATGCCACCCACTTTTCACTATTTATGTTATGAGTCCCATGTAATAGGAAGTGACCCTATTGAATTCTTACGCATCTAATTATATATATAATGAGTTAATAAAACATATAAAGTAGTCACCATAAAATTCATATGTAAGTAATATATCTTGCAGGATAGCAACTAATCAAATGTATTATGTACGTCCTTCGATACATAATTAGGACCCCTGTCTTGATCAAGAGGATAAACAAATAAATTATTATTGATCTACCTACTAAGGCCTTAATGTAAAAGCTGTGAGACTAATCTTCATTAGGTTATCGAATTACATTATTTTTGCCATTATTTTCTTACATTGATATGTATGAATAAAATCATTTGGCGTTCCACAGTAGAGAGTATACTATACTCTACTTCCATAGTATTGTACTGCCAATGGGAGACAAATGTGAGGTTACGTATATAATATTTTTGCCATCATTTTGACTTTAAATAAGTACCTACTGCTACTAGTAAAATGGTCTTGCTTCTGAACTAAAAATTCATGTTTGATTACTAAAGACAGCTCCTTGTAATCTTCATATTTCCATAATAAGTTACAAAATGTCTGATACTACAACTAATTGATGGATGGATCGTCCCATCCATCAATTAATTGCTGTTGGATCACCATTTTGTTTAAAACCCAAAAGATTACCAATTGGGAGTTCATAGTTCGTAACTACCCACTGTTCTCAGAAATCGAGAGTTGCAAAATAATTGTAGGAAATGAACATCAAAATAAATACTAATTGGAGTATTAAATACATAAACATTGTCATTATCTGATAAGTATGTAAATAAAAAACATCGACGTTTATTTTGATTGCGTATCGGCTCACATTTTCGAGCTTAACAAGTCGGATAGGAATTTTTGTTTATATACCTCCAAACGATTGAGAAAATTGAAAATCGCCATCTTCCTACAAGCTAATGGGCTACGTATATAAATCAGCATGCCAGTGTCAACATCTGTTTAGTTTGTAGTTGGTAGTCGACGTAGCGTGATGGCGTCTGCCTTCATAGTTTCATATACTTGGATCCAAGAATGTGATTACCTACATCATTTGACCTTATTAAAAATCTGGATCCAGCTCCAGCAGAGCGAGACTATGTTTGCCAACACAACAGCAGCAACTCGGCGGCACATCATAATGACATAATTGGCAGGGGGGAGCGCAGGCGCGCGGCGGTGCGGGGGGCGACGCGCGACGCATGCGCGGGTTTGACGGCCAAGGTCGAGGCCGAGCGATTCTGCCGCGCACCGCCGCGTTGGTAGGTTCTTCTCGCGCGCCCTCTTTCTGGAAACAACTTCTGAGGGACAAATGCGCAATAATCGTCGCGAGTGCCATGAATCCTGACCTTCTACGCAGCTGAGGACTCACCGGCAAAGGTAAGACATCCATTTCCTACACCAAATCCCGAGCGCGTTCCGTTTGATGCAAAAATCGATCAGTTGTGTAATGTTTGTAATCACGCTTTCCACCTATGTACGTATGCATAGCAGAGTTGTCGAGTTGCGTGGTTTTGCACGCTACGATTTGATGAGCGTTGTTATTCGAGGCTCATAAATAATAACAGGAAGTAAACGCAGATAGGTAACATCGCCGTAGGTAGTGCGAACAAATGATTTGTTCATTGCGCGAAATTGGTCAGCTCACGTTGCGCAGCGTCTCACGTCACTCGTTCTGCACGCTAATCGCCTGAACAAACAGTTTTGACGTTGTTTTGGGAACTGAAATTCATTGTGAGCATATTTAAAATGAATATTAATCCCTCAAGGATGGTTAGACGCCGATATTTGCTTCCACATTATTAAGCGAATACCCACTTTTTGTGCAAGTTTTTGCGACGCCGGTTAAGTATCGTTAATAGTGTTGGAGTCAAAGTACTCGTAACAAATACCTGTTCTTATGATATTTATTTCCATGTATTTGTTATGTTTATTGGAATCGTATTGTCGTATTAATAGAGTCTAATTTGTCAGTGTGACATTGTTGACTGCAGTGCCGTTCGCCGGTATTTGGCCACGTTGTTATATAGCTTATGGCGCTTAAGATATTTATAGTCTTGGAGCTTGTTTGTTCAAGTTATCAACCCCTAGTGGCCTGTAACTGGCCATAATTCAACCATAAATATTTAAGGTCGCTTTTGAAGTAATCCTCTGTTAGTCTATGCTTACGGTTTGCGTCACACGAATACTGATGTGGGTAGGCGAAGCGTTTATTTTTTTTGCGTCCTCCAAAGGCTGTAGTCGATGATTGGAAAGAAATTGCTTAAGTAAATAAATATAAGGCTCTTTGTTTACAAAGAAGCAACATGGCGGTTTAATTTAACATAATTTTGTATTACCGAATTTTATTATTTTTAAGGAGAGGGTAGGCAGAAATTCAGAGATCTTCATTCGTCAATAGTTTCAGTTTCTTAGTAAATACATATATAAGGACATGCTAAGCTTATCCTTAGCTAGCCCATAAACTTATAAAAAATGAAATTGTTTTGATAGTAGAACAAAAAACGAAATATCTAAAGTTATTTAACTCGTCGAGTACCGGTTTTGTAGACACAATTATAGAACAATAGGTTGCGGTCACCGGTGACCGCTTGATGTTTGACAGTTTAAAAAAAATATTTCAATTGCCCAACCTACCGGTACGGAACTTATTTTACCGATAACTAAATACTAAAATATTTACACTTTAAAAAAAATGTAAAGTTACCGTAGTACGTCTACGTCAAAAAAAAAAATTACCGATTGATTATTTGTGGGAAGGTACTCCTACAAGTTATAATAATATACGTGAAAGTGTATACTAATATAGGTAATAACGATTACTTAGTTGTTTTGTAAAAAATATTACGGTATTGAGAAAGAGCAATTTCTTTAGATTAATAAATTATCAAACTAATCTTAGGCTGATGATTTAAGATTAGAAGCTTTGCAACAAATTCTTTTACATACATACTCGTATATCCAAAATTCCTATACATATATATACCTACATACATAATTGTTTTTTTTATTTAAACTGTCAAACACCAAGCGGTCACCGGTGACCGCAACCTATTATTCTATAATTGTGTCTACAAAACCGGTACTCGACGAGTTAAATCTACCTTCATAACGCTTAGTTATTTCTTTTTAATTTCACCCTAATTAATTGGTTAAATGCGAGCACTTATATGCAGTAGTAGAGTATCTACTTATTTCCATTTTTGAAATGAAAGGTTGTGGAACATAGAATAAATATTATAGACTATCAATTAACAATAATTATTGTAATCTTAATTATTTTTTTAATTCTAAACATTGAATTTGGAATCATGTGTTTTAACTCTTCTGTTTTTGGTAATAAATTAATTATACTGGCATCAAAGAATAATTACATTCACCAGTACCTACATATTTAAAATCCATACAAACAAGTCCTTACTCTCAAAATTAGAATAAAAAACAAAAGACTAAATATCGAAATACCTAACACAATATTAAATTAGTTCAGGGGATATATCAAATATCAAAATTGTTATTTATTATCCTCCCTTAAATGTAGCAAGAGCAACATTGTCATTAATATTGACATGAGTATAGTCCCCTTGTTTATTTGGCTGTGACTCATCCCCCCTCTATTTGGGTCAGGGGAAGCTGGGGGTGTTTGGTAGCAGTGGGCGGCCCATCTTTCACCCCTCTATCGACCGATCTTGCCCGCCCACATGACAAAAAAAATTGTTTATTTGACGTACCTTTGCAAAATAGTCAATAGACTCACAATGGGTCTGACCGGCAGTTTTGTTTAAATCTGGTATTGTCTATTTGTTTGAGTTTTGAAGTTTAGAATCGTAGTAGTGGTTATTTGAAATAAATACCCACTTTTGAAAAATAAAGTTAGGAAATAGTTAAAAGTTTAAGTACCTACATACATAGTTGAATTATTTACTTGATTAAAATAAAAACGTTATAGTTCGGATGCTGTTTAAAATAATCTTCTATGATTATATCGAAATAATTTTGTATTTTAACTATTTTAATTTAATGCCTATCCAATTCAAAAGTTTCAAAGGGAATAATGTATAAAAACAATGACCAACTATCAAAAAAATAACTTAATTTTTTATAATATCAATAGTTTCAATGAAATACTGTTCCTACTTATTTCTTCCTAAACGCTAAATGATAAAGAATAGGCACTGAGCATGGATTAAAACCTCTGCAATATTCATAAATATAAAATCCCAGATTAAAACTATTGTGTTATGTTAAGCAATGAGCCTATTTGTGAATAATAGAATAGAAGAAAGAAAAAAATAAATAACATTTATTTAGCACTAGGCACGATAGTGATTGATAAACAACGGAAAAAATAACATAAAATAATGATTTGAATAATCACATTATTGTGTCTTTAGAGTACCTACAGAACTACCTAGTTTATTTTTAAACAAGCTGTCTCTTTACAATAAGACAGGAAGGAATTTCAAACAACTTGGGAGTACGATTTCAATTTGTCAGATTAAAAAAAAAATAAAAATATATTTGGAATAAACACAATTAATATTAAATAGACCAAAACTAATAGAACTATCTATTAAAAACATCGAACGCTCGTATACTGAAAGGCTACTCAACTTTAAATTGTACTTAAATATCGTGCCTTACCTTAGTCATTTTACATATAATTTGTAGTGACAGAACTATACATAAGTGCGACTTAAAACTGAATAACGTTTGGGTATTTGGACTTATGTATTACCAAATAATAAAAGTAAGTATGTACTTACAATTCGATTAAGAGAAATGTTTACAAAGCATTAAGATACCACACCTATGCATTTTAGACCACAAATACATACATACATACATATATACATATATAACTTCGCGCCTGCCTCCCTTAGGGGTTTTTTTTTTTTTTTTTTAAGGGGGGAAAATCATCGAATGACTGCCCCCGCCTGGGTGAGGCGGGAGGGAGTGTCAGACTCTTACTGACTAAAAACCACCCCGTTCCTTCTCCTGCACGTCGAGCCGGAGCCCCGGTTACCCGTTAGGTTCTCCGCGACTCCGACTCCCTTAGGGGTAGGCAGAGACTATGGAACACCAATTACTGCGATTCCTACATACCTCTTTCGCTTCATCAACAGTCATCAATCTTTTAATGCATGCTCGTCGGTTAAGGGTACTTTTAATTTGGCCCTTCTTTAATATATCGCCAATCTGGTCGCTGTATGTCCGTCTAGGGTGCCCTCCCATTTTAGACCACAAATAGTATGACAATATCTAAATAATTACAATTTCAAATTAACATAGATATGCAATAAAAATGCATTGGAATAAAATAGCAACGCGATGACTAAGGATAGGTCAAGTTAGTGCCTATTATGTGACTCGCAAGTCGCAACTATAGGATCGTATATCTTTAGATAAAGCGGTTCTTAGTGCACGAACAGATCTTAATCCTCTCTCAAATACCCTATCGTAATTAAATACAGTGGCAGTATAATATACTAATATATCTATTCATATCTAGAGATTCGTTTGACTGCATTTACATTATACAGCATTTATTCTAAAACTAGTATACCAAATCTTAAAATGAAACTAAAATAATTTCATATTTGTAGAAAACTATTTTTAACCACCACAGAAGAAATCGTTACCTCCTTACATTCCACCCTTAATTTTAAACCACCAAAAATTCTCAGCTCAGTCCATTTTTACGATTTATAATTATCATCTATTTTTTAAATAAAAATTATTAACAAGCTCCAAAACTTCCTCTTTCTGTTTTCTCTAACCCCAGAGTGTTGTAGAGGGTCCTTAGAATACATAACGTGTCCCAAACAAAGTATAGTCGCCCATTGATGGTAAAGCAGTGTTTACACCAACCAGGGCGGGTCAGCTGGGCGCGCGCCGATCGATTCGCGCTTCGTGAGTCTTCGTGAAGGACAAGGGCAACTCCGCCCGGCCGGTTGTGACGCCGGCGAATGCCGTAATTTTATACGCAGTAGAAGCCTGGACGTAATCTCTGTTCTATAGTGTGTCTCTACACTTCGCAGCACAAACAGAATTTACCGTAGACAATGATAAAAATACGGAAGCTATAGACAAAAGAAAAAACGATGCTGATACTTAAGCAAATTGATATTTTAAAATGATGCAATATTAGCAATGCGAAGTCAAAAGTCAAATTAAACATAAGTATTCACAACACCAAAAAAATATAACAACTTAACTGATAAAGTTAATTTTACAATGTGTTTACACACTTGGTGATTCAGCGGAAAGATATGAAAAATTCCTTATAATTCATATGTTATCTCATTGCACCTGAGTCTATAAAAGACACGTGCCTTAACTAGATCCATAATTAGTTCTTGACTTAAGAAAAATACATT